GGGGGGTAAGCTCTATCTATACTGTTCTGTGCAGGGGGGTAAGCTCTATCTATACTGTTCTGTGCAGGGGGGTAAGCTCTATCTATACTGCTCTGTGCAGGGGGGTAAGCTCTATTTATACTGCTCTGTGCAGGGGGGTAAGCTCTATCTATACTGAGGCTCTCACCTATAGCATGTCATTAGATCCAGGTGAGAGCAGCCAGTGGCATCCCAATTTTACGGAAGGTTTGCTCACTCTGGTATTGGGCGGTGTCGTCAGGACTAGAACCCACATCTGCATACTCTGAGACCTTTCCAACAGACACTTGGCCATCTGGCCAGCACCCCACAGGGCATCTCGAAATGCCACAGGCCCGCACCCCAGAAACCAAGCCAGACTCGCTGCCGTGGAGTCGATGCTGAGTCAGACAGTGGCCCTCTAGGACAGGGTAGAACTGTCCCCTGGGAGTTTCCAAGACGGTCACTCTTTGCGGGAGTAGACAGTCTCATCTCTCTCCCTTGAGGGGTTGATGGTTTCGAACTGCCAACCTTAGAGTTCACAGCCCAAGGCGTAACCACTATGCTGCCAGTGCTCCTACAGGCCTCACCCCTTGGGCTCCATCATCATCCAAACCCAAACCCAAACCCCGGTCCCTGTGCAGACAGACTTTCCATATGACTCACTTGGGAGAAAGGAAGTCGGGTGCTGGTGTTTAATTTCCTCCTTATTGCGTGCATTTCCGCCAGTAAGCCCTGGGGGGAGGCCTGTGCAGCCCTGCACTTAAAGCCATCAAGTGCAGTTTCTTAAGTGGCACCATGCATGGGGTTGCTATTCATTTAAAACCTGCCCCTTTGGGCACTGGGAGATGCAACAGCATCTCAGTAATCATAGGACGGTGCTCCTCACACTGAGCGCCGGGTGGTGACAGAGGAGGTCAGACACTGGCTGGGTGCCGACAGCTACCAAGAGTCTCCGTCTGGCTCCTGCCGCCTCCCGTCTACTCCCGTCTTCCTGTTTCCCTCTGCCTTTCTCCTCCTCTCTCATTTCCTCTGTCCGGGCCCCTCCCTCCCCCTCTCTAGAATAGCTACGGTGTAGGAAGAACAGTGTTTCCTTCGCATTCCCCTCCTTGGGTGGACTGTGAAGACTGGGTCTGATCCTAAAGGGAACCAAGGAGCGCCTGGTCTTGGTGAGCTGTTCGCAGACCTCAGCCAAACCCCTTGCCGGCGAGTAGAGCCTGGCTCATGGCGACCTGACATCACAGAGGAGGAGCTAACACTGAGGCTCGGTGAGGTTTGCAGATCTGCACGGAAGCGGCTGGCCTGGTCGCTCTCCCATAGAGCGGCTGGTGGGTTGACCAGTCTTCCCATGGGCTGCCGAGCGCCCACCCACCATGCCACCAGGCCACCTTGTCTGTTCACAGGGCCCTTGAACACCAACCCCCTTTTCCAAAAAGTCTCAGTGCTAAAAAACAGCCCTCTCTGTTTCACCCTGTGGGCTCCTTGAGCGCACAGGCCCTCTTGCTAAAACCTCGCCCAGGGCCTCAGCGTGCCTCACAGAGCGCCAAAGCCTCTTTCCCAAAGGTCCGGGTAGGTAGCAAGTGTGGCAGCCGCCTGCCCCTAGAGGGGGTTGGGGGGAGGGTTCAGGAAGTGATAACAAAAATAATGGGTGTCACACACGTTTCAGAACCAGCTTGCTCACCTGGCCAGTCCTGCTGGACAGAGCTGCCCGTCTGGAGCACGCCATCCCTGGGTGGTGGTTCCCAGGGCCGTCAGCCCACCACCAGAGCCATGCAGAGGGCAGTGACCACAGCCACGCAGACCCAGGCTGGGGCCGTGCCTTGGCTGGACCGCCCTGTTAGGCGCAGGTTATCCAGCCCCTCTGGGTCTCCCTGGAGTCCCCGATGTGTACCCCATCAGGTGGTGATGTGTACCCCCTCAGGTGATGACAATGCACGAGAGAGCAGGCCCGTTGCACGCAGACAGTCATGGAAAAGGGGAAGGTCCCGTGGGGTGGATTCCAACTCCTGACCCTGTGATGGAGCAGAAAGGCAGGCCCCACACAGTTTTTGCTGTTCCTGGTCTTCACAGAATCAGATCACCAGGGCTGTGTGTTACCCCAAGTCACACTGTCCAACCTAAGCCAGCTATACTGCCCAGTGATGCGGGCTTAATACATGCTGTTCTACTGCCCTAGTGGGTACTGATTGCTTCCCAGTGCCAGCCATGCTACCTGCCCCATGGCATGGGAAAGGGGCCTTAAAGCAGCCGAGCAATTCCCCAAGACGCCATGGAAAGCAAAAG